AAACACTGACTTGTACATCGGCTGGCCCCCGCAAGTCATTGTATAGGCCACATCGCATTCAAACGCCACTACGAATGTACAAATGGAAGTAGAATGCGTGCCGCATCCCAAAAAGGGATTGATCAACGGCAAATGCTTTATCCTTTTTTTATCCTTGTTTTACCCTTTGACTACGACTTCTTTGAAACTAAGTTATCTATGTGTTTCGCATAGTAACTGTCGCTCCTAGCAACAACTTATCATCTATAGGAGCTTAGCGGACGAACACTGGATATGATCTGGGATTTGATACAGCGATAGCGGCTCCCCTTACCAGCACGTCATCTCCCCATAAAATGACTATTTTTGAAATATAACTTGGGAGTTTGATTACTATGCACAAATACACATTTTTTTACATGTCATTCGGGGAACAAAGCCAATGTCCGGTTAGGGGCACGTTCATAAGGAATTGCGATCCGCACTCTGTAGGAACGCTTTGGGTCCCACCGGTTTCTTCTGCTCTACGGAATTTCCGTCGTCTTCTACTTCTTTGGAAACCTGTGCCGTCAGAAGAGTCCCTCGATTCCACATGCATACCATCCCAACTGTCAGAATCATTGAGGTTGGAATCTCCAACCTTTCGTAGAACGCCGCATCGTCCTCTGACTGGTTCGGCTGATAAAATGCCCCACTGTCATAGTTCGTTTAATTATGTTGCAACTGACACAATAATGTAGGGAGACACCAAAACCATTAGCGAATTGCCAAGAGGGTATGGGATTAAAAGACACCTTTTTTGGGAGCTGCGCACATTGACCAGCGGTGCAACTTGTTTCATTAACTTATCCAGGGTTACTCGCTTGGACTTGCGACGAATTGTTGTTAGGCAAAAATAATAGTTTCTATTTGTGCACGATTCCGCCGTCAAGGTAGCCCTCCTACCTCAATAACGCCTAAAACTGTGGATGGTGTCTTTAACTACGGAAAGGTACACATGTGTACCAACAGTAGTCAAAGGGTAAACGCCAAGAAATTTCAGTAGGAGCACATCGAGGCTCCCCGTGCAAGCGCTCTCACACTGCAGTGTCATGGTCAGCAAAGACGTTGCTGTGGACAAAAGCAAATAAAGCGAAAAATAAGACCGCGGATGTCTCGAGTTACCGCCGCCGTTGTCGCGTACACAGAGCGGTTCCAAAAAATCTAAACAATCGGATGATTAATGTGACCAGTCGAAAGCATTTTGATTGAGGAAGCAGGAAAATTTGGCTCATTGAATCGGCATGTGATTGTAAATTGTGTGAGGCTTAAGCTTGGAAAGTGTGCAAGTGCGACCAGCCCTTCGGTAAATCTCTCATATTAGGATAAATAACGAATGATTTCTGAGCAGAACGGTGACTTCCCTGAGCTTATTATGATTGCTGTTTGCCATCCATGGCAAAATTCCACCCTTTTGTATGCCAAAACTCAGGCTTTCTTCAGTACAAACCGACCTGGAAACCGGGCCGGATTGTACTAAAGAAAGCCTGCGTTTTGGCACGCTACCTGAAACTTGACATATAAACCCTGAAACACAGCCACTTGAAACCCTGCTCCAAATTCCATTGCTGATTTGAGGCGTTAGCTACCGATTTCCCTCCACGGCATACTTCCTTTCAAATCCAAATAGCTCTTAAAAATTTTTATAGCATTTCATAGCACCCTCACGCCACAGTTTCGTATAACTTCGTATAATGTATTACAGATAATATACAAGAATACGTGGCGAATCTGCAATGCAATTTGCCTCACCCGAGACGGTCAGATTCATAGTCCTGCAGTGGGAGTCGCCCATTGCCAACGAAAATCTGTCCATCCTTCTAGGGTGGTCGATAATTTCGTCAGTACTTTGTTTGAGGATAAAAACACTGACTCGTAACAGCGGCTTGGCCCCGCAAGTCATTGACATCACATTCGCAGTCAAATGCCGACTCAATCCACAATGAGCGCCTGGAAGCGTTGCCGTCGTCCAAAGAATTTGATCAACAGCAAATGCTGTTTTTTGCTCTGTACAAATGCAATATTACCATCGAAGCAGCGATGGGGTGAAACGGTGCCTCAGTGGGAGGTAAGCAAACCAGCCCTTTTGGCGTTTCGGCTGGGACCGTATGCTGAATGTTGGAGAGGGAATGGGGTCCCCAACGATCGACGGTTTACTTCAACTCGGTTGGTACGATAGGAGAGTACTGACGCAAGTGGTGCAGCTGGGTGCTCAGCAGCTCACCAACGAGGCTTGTTTGCTCACCCCAGGACTATGCCTTGGAGAGGGGACGGGTCCGTCCTCTCTTTAAAGCTTAGTTACCAATTACCAATTTCAGGTAAGCACCAAACTGTGGCGGTTCTAAGGACTGAGTTGAAGTGGTCCGTCCATCGTGTGGGACTCCATCCCCTCCCCAACATTCAGCATACGGTCCCAGCCGAAGCGCCAAAAGGGCTATTTGCTACGTACCTCAGTGGTGTACTGGTGCTAGCGCAAGTGCCCTTAAAGTTAGAAAGTACGAATCCCGTATGAGGCGAAATTTTTTGTCATAAGCACTTATTTTGAATAAGGTTTTCCTCAACATTATTTCTGCATCGTCGTAGAGACGGCTGATTGGTACAAAACCGCAAGACGCGCCAAATAAAGAGGGAGATTCAACAATACCAATCATAGGTGCAATGCCTTATTATAGAAACTAATCAGTGAATGTAGTGGTACGTAACAGCTAATCCATCTCCTGACCCTGTTCATCAATATTTCCGCCGTGCCTGCCGTCTCCCACCTGCGGCAACGCATTTTATCTATCGCAAAGACCAAACCTTTCGTTTTGACCTTGGTTCTGCCTCCTTTTCCATCCCGCTAGGTCTGTAGAGTTCCAGGACATTCTCGAGCGATAAAAAACAGCGTTACATATTCGTATAATGTATGCTATACGAAGTTCGCCTTGTAATCATGAAAAAGTTTTAGAGAAAACCGTGACGAATGGACTCTCTCCAGAGAGGAATATCCGCTCAATTTACCGTGATAGACCGCGAAAAGGTGAAACTTTCGATGTGAAACTTCGGCAGAATTAAAGGCTTTCTCTCTATACATTATACAAAGCTTTTGAAAAAAAATGCACGAGCTCTATTCATCACATTCTACTTGGCTATCTGTTACTCCTGAGTTCTCTGACTTTCATAACCTCCGCTTTTCCACGCATGCAGCTGGAAATCAGCGATCCTTAAGTCCGTTTGATTTCCGATGCAAAACTTATACTTTCCTCAAACTATACTCGATATCGTGAGTTGGGGGGGCGTGTCACCGGAAGTGACGTGCACTTGATAGAACTATGTGGATAAGCTGCTTCCAACATACATCGCTGGATATCAGCAAAGCATGCTGGCAACAGCTTATCCACGCAACTTCTATCAAGTGCACGTCACTTCCGGTGACACGCCTACCCCAACTTTCGGATATCGACTGTACAATCACCCGTTCTCAGTAATACAACTATGTACTTCTGCGAAGGGATCATCTATTGCATGAGCGTAAAGCCGAAACAGAGGCACAACGTTGTGCAAGTCATCCAGGGCTCCAACGACGAAATTCCTCACGAGTGCTTCCCATTCTCGTGTACCGAAATTCTTCCAAGCGCTGAGTTTCTTGAAACATGTGGTACTCTTGTATTGAGTAGGAGACCAACGCTTCATAAACGAACCCAGCACAATAAAGAGAAATATGGGCTGCGTAACTCTATTGAACTGCTCAGAAACTCACGACTCGGACAGCAGAAATAAGGCCCCATCTCGACCGCGTCAGTTGCGTAGCAGTAAGTCTGAGCGGGACACCGAGGCCATGGTCGCCTTGGATCGCAGTCAATAGGTAGAGATGGAACGCCTCCTGGACAAACGCCTCCGAAGGAGATTGGTGGAGGCTCATAGGCACCTGGAGCTGCAGGTCATTATGAACAGATAATGTTTGCATTGATCATCAGTTGATCCCACCTGCTCGAGTAAGCTGTAAAAGAAGAAAGACGCTAAGCACTCCGGAAAGCATTTTGAAGCGATTGGGGGAAGGACTAGCATTTAAAGCACATTGGAGAGTGGGTGGATTGTGTGGACACAAAGTACAACTGGACATCGCACTGCTCCGATACCACTTGATCATACGATGAAAAAGGAATGAAAAAAGGAAGAGAAGCCGGATTGTCTCCAATTGTGCGGGGAAGAGAGGGGAGGGCCTTCTAGCTTGAGTTACAAACAAGTCAATCTTGTGCAAATAAATGAGACGCTCCTCCGAATTTTCTTGCTGTTTGTATTTCCTTGATTTGAATGTATGAGTTTTTTGCGAGCTCTTTAGCATGCGTTTGTCTTTCTTCTTCATCGCTGATAGCGCTCTTCCTTGTTATGCCCAGTGCAGTCTCTCATGTCCGTTATTTGAAGTTGACCCGCATTCCAACTGGGAATGTCTAAGCATGCAATGCATAGACATTCCCGCAGAGTCGTAAAGACTTGCAAATATGGAGTTTGTGTCTCACGTGCTCTGAGCCCGAAACAGCTCCGCACACGATCTGACATCGTCATGTTCCTTCTGATCTCCTGCAAGTTCCTTACAGTGATCATCCAGCATATTCACCAGGGTTCTGGACTGGGTGAAGTGTACTAGCAAATCGAAAATAAGCAGTAGCCTAGCATAACGATTCGGAGTTCTGACACACCCCCCTGTAACTCCGACCCTCTCAAGATGTTCATGGAACACAAGGGTACTTCAC